GCGGCCATTGTCTTTGCACTGAAGGCTTGGCGCCACTATCTGTATGGTGAGCAGTTCGAGGAATTTTCAGACCACAAGAGTCTGAAGTACATCTTCACTTAGCGATACCTCAACATGAGACAGCGTAGGTGGATAAAGTACTTGGAGGATTATGACTTCACATTGTATTGCCATTCCGGTAAGGCAAATGTGATGGCTGATGCACTCAGCCAAAAGTCACGGGAAGTCTTGGCTAGTGTGGCTTCCTGGGAGTGGGAGATGTTTGAGACTGTGAGACAGTTTGGGCTACATTATCAAGGATAGGTTCAGGGTGTTTTAGGGAGCTTAGTGGCTACGCCTTCCCTACTAAGTAGAGTGATAGAGTCCCAGAGGCAGGACCTAGGGTTATCATCTATTAGGAATAGAGTGTAGGTAAGTACCAGTGACGAAGGCTGGGCCATTCACTCTGATGGCAGCCTTTGGTATAGGGGAAGGGTTGTTGTTCCCCACTTAGCGGATCTGAGAGAAGAGATCCTTAGGGAGTTCCATTGCTCCCGATTTACCATGCATCCAAGAGGCACGAAGATGTACCATGATCTTCGTCGCCAATACTATTGGAGCGAGATGAAAAGATACGTTGGGGACTTCGTTAGTCGATGTCTTACGTGTCAGCAGGTTAAGGCTGAGCACCAGAGATCAGCGGGGTTGCTCCAGCCTTTGGAGGTGGTTGAGTGGAAATAGGAGCATATCACGATGAATTTTGTGACTCACTTGCCACAGACATCACGGGGATATGACGCGGTGTGAGTGATAGTGAACCAGCTTACAAAGTCAGCACATTTTTTGGCGGTGCGAATGACTTTCAAATTGGAGGAATTCTGCAGATTGTACTTACGAAAGATTGTCCGGTTACATGGAGTGTCCGTATCTATAGTTTCGGATCGGGATCCCAGGTTTACGACTCATTTTTGGGAGAGTTTTCAGTGAGCCATGGGGATATAGTTGATGATGAGCACAACTTTTCATCCCTAGACGAACGGTTAATCAGAGAGGACCATCCAGATATTAGAGAACATGCTACGGGCATGTGTCTTAGATCTTAAGGGTAGCTGGGAGGAGCATTTACCCTTAGTGGAGTTCGCCTACAACAACAGTTATCAGGCAAGTATCCAGATGACACCCTATGAGGCACTATATGGGAGACCTTGTCGTTCTCCAGTCTGTTAGACAGAGGTGGGAGAGAGACCCTGTATGGGTTTGAATTTGATCCGAGACACCTTGGAAAAGGTAGGATTGATGCGGAAGTGCCTTCTTATGACTTAGAGCCGATAGATGAGCTATGCCGACAAACGAGGCGACCTTTGGAGTTCAAGGTAGGAGATCATGTCTTCTTGAAGATTATGCCTAAGAGGGGAATTNGTGCCTTCTTAAGGCTTAGAGCCGACAGATGAGCTATGCCGACAAACGAAGGCGACCTTTGGAGTTCGAGGTAGGAGATCATGTCTTCTTGAAGATTATGCCTAAGAGGAGAATGGTCAGATTCGGGAAGTAAGGAAAGTTGTCGCCAAGGTTTATCGGACCCTTCGAGATACTCGAGACGGTGGGTACGGTGGCTTACAGATTAATGTTAACACCAAATTTATCGGGTGTTCACGCGGTGTTCCATGTATCTATACTCCGGAAGTATACTCCAGATCCGACATATGTAGTGGATTGGGGTAAGTTGGTTGTTGATGCAGATGAGACCTTCGAGGAGGGACCGGTGCGTATCATGGATAGCCGAGAACAAGTTTTGCGAGGTAAGACTGTAAGAGTAGTAAAGGTGTTATGGCAGCACTGAGGAGTGGAGGAGGCGACGACATAGGAGCATGAGGATACCATACGAACCAACTATCCGTTTCTGTTCGATGATGGAGGTACAAGTTTTATAATTGNGAGTGGAGGAGGTGACGACATGGGAGCATGTGGATACCATACAAACCAACTATCCGTTTCTGTTCGAGGATGGAGGTACAAGTTTTATAATTATATGTATGATATTATTGTTGCATATTCATGCGGTTAAGTGTGTATGTGTGTATGAATTTTGGGGACGAAATTCTTTTAAAGGGGGGAGAATATAAAACCCAGGTAAATTTAAACTTTTTATGAAAACGGATAAAATTGTAATTTACCGCTACAATACAGGTTAGAAACTAGAATTTTTTTAAAACTCGGATAACGAAACNTTTATAATTATATGTATGATATTATTGTTGCATATTCATGCGGTTAAGTGTGTATGTGTGTATGAATTTTGGGGACGAAATTCTTTTAAAGGGGGGAGAATATAAAACCCAGGTAAATTTAAACTTTTTATGAAAAAGGGTAAAATTGTAATTTACCGCTACAATACAGGTTAGAAACTAGAATTTTTTTAAAACTCGGATAACGAAATGAACCTCACTGTTAGATTCGTCTCACGAAATCTAGTTACCTTGTCAATTTTCGTCGAATTCCGAGATAGCAAGATTTTTTGCGTTTTATGAGGCGGTCGAGTCTCGGGTGACCCAAAAACGAAATTTTTAATAAAATTTTGAAAGTTAGAAAATAATTTAAGGCAAGTTAAAATCAAATATTTTAAACTTGAACCGGGACAAAATTTAATCGTTTCAGAGTGAAAACAGACCCGAAAAAGAGCACTATGTGGCGCATTGTGGACCAAGTATTGGGGGACTCTAAAAAGGGGAAGAAAATCAGATTTTTCTTCTCCAAAGTGTTCAGCCGTTACCCGATAGAGAAGAGAGGGAAAAGAGAGGAGAAGTCCACCTTCTCTCTACGATCTACGACATTTCGTCGCTTAAATCCACTTGGGCCAAGAGTTAAAGTTGGTCTCCTCGTCGAGGGCTACGCCTATATATCAAAAGTAAGGGTTCCTTCCTACTTTGGTTTATTTTACAACCTAGGGTGTTAAATAAAATGAATAGGTTGATAGGGTTGTATATCACTTATCTATTATGGTGAAATTGATGAAATGGGTATTGAAAAGGGGTCAAATAAATCCTATCCTATAATGGGCACGTAGAAATTACTCAAAGTAATTTCTTGAAAAAGATGAGAATCAATATATGAAAATTATTTGTGTGATTCCATAAAATATGGTATTATGTGGGCATACTATATATTTATGTTATGCCTTTGTAAGTGAAGTATATTATTGTCATATGTTATGTAATAGCATGTTTGGCATATGTTGTTGGAAATAAAATGTTGATATATGTTTATTGACATGTTAACATTGTGATAAAGTTAGTGATTATATGCATATAATATAATTGACCATGAAATATGTAGATGTGTGGTTAATTTTGCTCATGCGGCATTCATTACATATGAGCATGACATTAATATAGCAATGGTGCATTACATTGCAATTGCACGAAGGAATCGCATTCATGGACATGAGTATGGGTGTGAGTGTGCATGATTGACATCAAACACCACATAAGTGGATGATGGGTGGGCTCAAAAAAATGGATCGAAGATCCAAACGAGTCGCACGGTGGTATGAATAAAGAATTGGGTCGGGGTTAGCAAGAAGGGCTAGACTATCCCTCGGGTGAGAGACCCAGTGATTCGGGTACTCATTTCCGTTGGTATAAGAGCTTATAAAGTGTGTTGGTGTATGCGAAACCGTTGGTGGAAGTCCACAAATTCCGTGTCGATTGGGTGACTGTTGGTGGAAGTCCATAAATACCCACCTCAAGAAAGACCCAAAGATTTTAAATAGTTATTGGGTGTGTAACACTGATAACGGGGGCTTAGAAAGCCCGGTTGTATACTCACGGCCTAACATGGGGTGAAGGTAAAGGGCGGGAGTTAGAAAAGCTCAGCTTTATACACATTAGCATTGCATGTGTTGTGGAGTTGCGAAGGGCTCGAGTTAAATGACATGAGTAGGTATTATCTCATATTATGACATGACATGTTAGATTCCAAAGAGCGAGATAGGCAAAAATTGGACAGAGAGTACCAGTACTATGTACCGGCACAGTCTGTCCAGACGGCAAACCGTACCAGTACACAGTACCGATACTATTTCCAAAAATTTGGAATTTTAAAACTAAAGTGTTATGCTCTTGACCTTTGATTCCCTTGGTTCAAATGATGTATTTGGACAATAAAGAGGCATGAATCGTGGTACTTTGAACCACAGTTGAATTAAATAATTAAAAGAACACAGATTACATGTGTGAGTTACAATCCTGGATAAAATGATATTATTAGCGTGATGTCAGATGGTGCAACACTTACGGATATTTTTGCGGATTGACAGATGGTGAATAATAAACTCATGATCCCCAATTTTAAAAGCGTCACAATTATAGAGCCGTCGTCTCATGGATTCTTGTCATAATATATTTTTTTGCCTCTTCCCCCGTACATTATAGAGTCGTCGATCTCATGGATTCTTGTCATAAATTATATATTTTTTTGCCTCTTTCCCCGTACATAGTTGCAAAGACAATAAAATTGCTAATCAAGAGAAGATCCTCACCACCTTCAAAAAAATTGCTTAAACTTTTGAAATGGATCGTAAATAGAAAGAATATTTCTTTGACTTTTTGTGCTTCATTGGGTGAAGGTACATTAGACATTATATAATATTGAAATGTTCATTGACTAAACGGTAATTTTAATGATAATTTGAATGACTCGACTATCAATATCGAAAAAAAAATTTTGGTACCATACATTCAACTTTTACCTCTTTAATAGGTATTATTATGACCTTTGTAGGTCATTTTACAATAAAAAAATTTATTATTTTTGTGAGTGATTTACCATTTTTATAGATATTTTTATCACTGTTGTGGGTGTTTTTTTTCACATTTGTGATAATTATTTTTATTATTTTTTTTCGATACAAAAAAAATTACTATTTTTGTGGGTTATTTATCACATTTGTGAGTATTTGTACCACATTTTATGGATGTTTTTACTATTATTCAATTAGCTGACACAAAGTCATACTATAATGTATAATTTTAATCATCCAAACATAATGTATAATGTTACATATAAGATTCATAAATATAAAATGGAAAAAAAAACCCAAATAAAAATAAAAATAAAAATAATTTGCTGGCATTTAAAGTAAGGTAGAGTGATCAGCTGATGCGGCGGCACAGGGTAATCCCATCACCAACTGGAAGCATACAGATCTCAATCCTAGGGTCAGCGGCCAGGGCTTTGTTAAGCTCCAACACAAACTCTCTGTAGTACCTGATGTACTTCCTCATTGGAGCATCCGGTGGGGCCACCACAGAACCATTCCATAAGGTGTTGTCGTAGCCGATCACACCTCCAACCTTAACCAAGTCGATTAGTCTCTTGTGGTAGTTGAGGTAGTTGTCTTTGTCTGCGTCCACGAATATGAAATCAAATGTCCCATGATACCTCCCCTATAATTCATCACATAACGACAAGGTTAGTTATATATACATCATTTGAGCAAAAAAAAAAAGGTTACATATACATCCGGTGCACCTAAGACATCGATAAATTACTTCTGTATCATTTATAATCTTTTTGTTATTGAGTAGTATAAATTTTTTAATTTATTGTACTATAGTAGACTTGCGTCACGTACTACCAAAAATTATGTCAGAATTGGGTTGATTCACGATTCAAACATATGGATAATGACTAATACCAAAATGTTCAAATCAATACTAAATATTTTGGTACCCATTAAGATTTAAATTTGACTTTATTGAGTCATAAGTTGCACCCATGGCATGAGCAATTCTAGGGTTTCATTTAGTATCTCAAATTTATCAAATTTCAGATACAAAATTTTTCTACCCATTGAAATCTACTCAACCTTTTGGTAGGTTACCAAAGAACAATATTATTGGGACTTAATTTGTCGATTTAATTCACTATAGTCAATGAATTGACTGTGGATACCATCAAACATTGAATCTTGATGTTAATCCAACAGTTACAATGAAGTCACATCATTAAGTCAACAGATTAAGTAATCATGAAATTCGGTACAGTTAACACACACAAATGTGGGCAATATTGCATGGACCTTATTTGGTGATCTTATCATTCTCTGTTATTAGATTGACAGTAGACTCTATTATTAATTGAGATCCATTATCAATTCAATGACTATGATATATTATATCACCGGATAAGATTATTAAATTAAGTGCAAATAATATTTCCTCACAAATATATGTGGAGAGAGAGAGAGAGAGTTACATCTTGGATCATTTGATCAAGAACAGGCAAAGCAGGGCCTTCTTTGAAGTCGATTTTGTGGGCAACACCAGCCTTTTGAATTGTGGGCAAACCAATCTCATAGTTTTCTCTGTTTATGTCCATTGCCAAAATCTGCAAACATTAATGACAAAGATTTTACAACTCTTTTCTCCTTTTTTGAACGCCAGTATTTAATTGCATCTGCTTTTTTTTTTTATGAATTTTATCTGTTTGGATGCTGAGAAAATGGACGGCAAGGAAAGAACAGAAGAAAATCTTTTATTTTAGGAAAGAACATGAAGAATATGCTTATACAATTGGATATGTGAAAAATGAAAACAAAATTCATACACTTTAATAGAATTAATTTTTCAGTTACCATGATTTTTAACATTTTACTTAGATATCATAGTTTTAAACTTATTTACCGTATTATTATTATTTTTATAACTACAAAGAGTGTTTCAAAAACAGGTTCTCAATGCAAAAAAAAATGTAGAAAATGTGTAAACACCCTTAAATTTAATTTGTGTTTTAGAAACACCACTTTATAAAAACAAGGTAGTTTAATAAATAAATGAATCTCAATTACGATATTTGAGTAGAAATGTGTTAGAAAAAAATTATACTTTAGTACATAAGTTCATTGTTTAAATTCCATGATCACCGTTGACTTTCTTGGGAACCAAACAGGGGAGTGTTTTTGATTAATTATTTTCACATCCGTCTTATAAGTTTGTTATTTAGATTCCATGATTTTTTCCTTATCTTTCTTTGCAACCAAACAGGGGCAGAGTTTTTTTTTTTTGAACAAGTAAACAGGGGCAGAGGTTATTAATTGTTTTTCACACCTTTCCATCATCGGGAAGGGCAAGGGCGGTGGCGAGAAGAGAATAACCAGTGTAAACACCAATCTCCATGGTGTTCTTGGCATTGATGAGCTTCAAAAGCAAGTTCAAAAACTGCCCTTCATCAGCAGAAGTTGACATGATATTCCTGTTTGGATACGAGATAAATATATATCAATACACATGGTTCAATACGACAGCACAACCCTCATGGTTCAAACAATTCGCATAGTCGTATATGACTTACCATCTTTCGTTACGATACGTTTAATATTCCATGCAAATCATGAGTCACCGATACATCTCAATGACCCATAAATAATTAAGAAAAGAATATTCAACTCATGGTTGACTCAAAGACGTTCTAGATTCAGACATTCTAAGTTTAAATCTTGACAACCTTTTAAAATTAAATCATGAAAAATTTTATCCCTTATAAATATCTTAATCTCGACGTGAATAGTCTATTTTTTATTGAATCGAAGAGAAAATTTATCAAAGTGCATATAAACTGATTTGGATACCCTGACTATTGATCTCGGTCTTGAAAATTCATTAGATGTTTTAAAAGTTGAAAAGAATTTGGAGGGTTGAAACTTTACCATGGATGCTTGGCAGTCACCTCTCTAAGCTCTTTCATGGCTTCTGGCTCTTTTGGGTACACACTGGTTTCAAGAATATACTGGCAAAAACAAACAAAACCAATCAAGGATTGAGAAAAAAAAAAAAAAGAACAATCCAATCCTAACAAGAAGAAAAGTTGTTTGTCTTGAAGGAACATCAGCAAGAAAAAGTCTACCTGGTAGAGGGCATCACTCTGCAAAAGGCTCTTGTGGCCAACCTCCTGGTGTCTCCCATTCTGATTTTCCTTCGTTTCACCGTTTGTCGCCATTGTCCTTAATTTTCTAGGATATTGTCCTTAATATTCTAGGCTTTTTTCTCTCCTTTCGTTGGAGTTTTGGTTTTCAGGTATGGTTAACCTGGGTTTGGCAGGAGAGAAATGGAAGGGTATATATAGGCGCAGAGGTCCGGTTCGAACCGGTGGGTTCTGCTTGCTGGCTGGCTGGGTGGTGGTTGGTTGCACAGACCGCCCGGTCGGGGGTTGGTGAGATCCCTCCATAGATAAGCATTGGTGGGGCCTATTTTATGCTTGTTATCCCAGCTACTATGCATTGTCAATGTACCAGAACGTTTGGAGATCAGAGAGAGGGTCCATCCGAGGATTATGTTTGATGACGTCATGGTTATAAATTATGAGCGTTGAAATGAATTAAAATTTTTAATACACGAGTTTAGTGAAATTGAGGTAAACAATTAGTTTAAAGATCATCCCTCTATAATTGAACCTTAAAATCGTGAGTTTAAACTTTATTATCTCCCTTCTTATAATATTGTTTGGCAAAAAAAAAAAAAAAAGTCGAGTATCGATGTATGGTTTACTTGTTTAGCAATGAGGATGAACACAAACACAAATTTTTTTTTTTTCATGTTCTTCGACGGAGCATGTTTCCCAACAAATTTGACATTTGGTTTCCCAAAGAATTTGCAGAATTTTTTTTTTCAAAGGGATGTTTGAGAGATAAAAAAAAAGTCTCATGTCGACCATAAAAATTCTAAAAAGTAGTATTCGATTTTAAATTTTTTTGGGTTAATCCAAATTGAAATTCTTCGGTAGTAATTGGACCTGATTAATTTATTTTTTTGGCATAATACAAAAAAATACAATAAACAAAAAAAAGAAAAATTGTTGTATGACTAATGAGATTTTTAGGGTAATGATATGCTTATCAATTTTTTTACCAAATATCCATCACAAATGATGTGACACAATTTTTCATCATCAGATAAGTAGATCTTATTAATATTCAATGATAAAAATTGTATTGTACCATATTATTTAGAATAAAAAATTTAATAAAAAAAATTGATAAACATAACATTATTTTTTTATTATTATTTTGGTCTTATTGCATATTAATGACTAACGGATATTTGGTCCAATAATACTCTTTACCTTATGAAAATTTTATCTTCTTAAAGTCAAAGGATCGAGCAACCTTTCCCCTCCCCCTCCCCTCAAAAAAAAAATGAAAAAAAAATTGCATATTAATGGAATGTGGTGGGACCAACCAACATCTTTAGTTTTAGTTTTTTTTTTTTTTATTTGGGATCTCCAACATCGTTAGTTGGAATTGCCAAATTAGCAAAGGAATTGGTAAGATGTTGGTGGGGGCAATTCTACTCCACATATGCTAAGAGTTGGTGGCCACCCTTACATACAATATAATATAGTTTATATAGTTTATGCTAAAGAGTTGGTGAAAAGGTTAATGTGAATCATTTGATGAATAGATCATATAAATTTTACTGATTCTCCGATGACTGTCAATGTACCACATTTAAGACCCAGAGTAGTGTGGGTCCTAGATCAATAGATGGATTTGACGAAAACCTGATTGTGGAATATATGATCCAGACTACTCCTTGAATTTTTCGTATTTTGTACTGTAAAAAATTTTAAAATTATTATTTTATATTATTAAAAATTAAATGTTTTTATATTATACCCTTAATTTCTTAAAAATTTTGCAATGTAACCCTTTACTTCATTTTACGTTTTTTTTTGTCAAAAGCCCAACTATTTTTTTTTTTTTGATCAACCAAACAGTAAATAAGATTTCATTAAGTAGGGAAGTTCGAATTATAATCAGTCAAAATTAGAACATTAAGCTATGGGGGTGGAGACCCAACCCATCCTAATAGAAGTGACACTGACGAAAAACTAGTGGAAAACTAATAAAATTGTTACATTGGAATATTTTTTATACATTGAGGGTACAATGTAATAAATTTAATCTTTAAAAGTATAAAATAAAAATTATTAAAATTGTTTAAGATACAAAATACAATTCACCCACGTTCCATTAGGGTATATGATAATGATTTTATAGAGTGAAAAATATTATGAAATATAAATTATACTTTGATCCCTTTCAACTATGACCATTTTTTTCACTTTACTAGCTCAATTATCATTTTTTTTATATTGTACTCTCAATTACGTGATTAGTTTCACATTGTCCAAATTATTAACGTCTATTACATATTTAACAAAAAATTATTTTAGTCTGCCCCTCAAACTATATAATTTATTTTACTTTGCCATGACCCATCAACAATTTTCGTATAAAAAGATGATGGACGCTCACAATTGAGACAATGTGAAAGAATCAAAGTAATTGAGGAGACAATATAAAAAATTTAATAATTTAAGGGATAAAATAAACGATATCTTGTCAAAATCGATACAATTTCCACACGACACATGGATAATAATATAACATTAGAATTTTTTTTTTGATAAATATATAAAATTAGAATTTGTGTGTTGTATAAGTTGGACTTGAAATGTCAACACAATTGTTATTCCAATTCATTTAGTTAAGGAATGGATGAGAACGCAAACTCGAAGTGCGGCCAATAAATAGCAAGTATGCCCTTGAAAAAGACAAAGAAAAGCTATAAGAATTAGTGAGAGAGGGGGACCCTTTATTCTTTATGCCAAAGTCTCCAAGATGTGCACTAATAAGCGATTAACAATGAGGAAAGCTCCAGCAAGGTTATGGTTGGTGAAGATGGCCGAGAGGTCTCATCACTACCTACTTTCACCAGCAGAATAATAAAGAGCTGGGGACGGGCCAGGGATGACTACTTGTTTTAAGTTGAAAATGTCCTACATGACCTGCCAACAACATGGACTAAGATTTTATTTATCTATGACTACGATATTAATTTTTATTATATTATATTAATTATTATTATAAAATAAGAGCGAGATTAAAACTCTATTCATTGGTAGAGATTGCAATAAAATAAGATTGTTTTTGATTGATTTTAACGTGTTTAGGATTAAGCTTCTAATATTAGGATTTGATGATGTTCTTGACACGACTGAGTAATGATGTTATTATAAAACACATTGAAGAGTCGGATTCAGTTCAGTCTGAACTCTAAAGTTCTAGGGAATAGGATCTGGGGATTAGCGGGTAATTACACAGAATGTTTATAGTGGTTTACTAGTTCAAGAGTTCGGCTAATCCATTCTTCAAGGAATCTCTTGCTCTGGAATATATTGATTACTGTATGAAATTTACAGATAATATTTATTACGCTACAATGGCTCTCTCTTCCTTACTTTCGAGGGCTTTGCCTCCTATTTATAGATAGCTATTCCTGAGCCTTGCTTAATCTGGGACGAAATCATTGCCCCTCCCTCGTAACGGTTGCCCCTTATTGCGCAACGAGACTTGCGTTTATGAGTGATTGATGCCAGAAAAAGGAAACTTGGTGAGATCTAGCTGTCTTTTGTACAACCTTCCTCAAGATATAAACACGAGGAGTTGAAGTCTGAAATCGAGGTCTGTAAATAATATTGATGAGCTGAGCTCCCATCCTGGGTTACCGAGCTCATCTTTAGATATTTTGTGATACCATCAAGATCAATATTAATNAAGATATAAACACGAGGAGTTGAAGTCTGAAATCGAGGTCTGTAAATAATATTGATGAGCTGAGCTCTCATCCTGGGTTACCGAGCTCATCTTTAGATATTTTGTGATACCATCAGGATCAATATTAATTTTTTTTTTACCACTCGAGCCGGTGGTCTAGTGGTAAGTCATATACGTTTAGAGTCATCTCTGACTTCTATGTGGCTATCAAATAATGTTCAATGTACGGGAGTAACATAGTTTATTACTTGCTTTTAGTGGTAATGTGGTGACGAATTACCCTTTCGAATTAGTAGTTATGACTCAAATCGAATATTTCATAGTGAAAACTCTTATGGTCACACTCAAAGATTACTATTTACTGGTCACCCTCCCCCCTTTTTCCTTAAAAAAAAAACCATTAAACTTTTTAGAGTCAATTCTAATATTATGGTAGTAACTTGTTCCCAATTAATCATACCCATAAAATTATAACTTGACTAAAAAATAATTAGACTAGATAAATAATTTTTTGATCCATACATAATTTGTATTCTATTATCTTATTGTTAATCTAATGTTTTACTAAATACTGAATTACAATGAACATTATTTTTGTTATATATTTAATCTTATATTTTATTCGCTTATATAAAGTTAGCTTGTATTATCTAATATAACTCATTTTTTTTATAATACAATAACTAAACAAGCTCTATTATTTGTATACAATAAATCTTGTTTAAATTCACGGTAAATAATCTATAATTTAAAAAAAAAAAATTATCGTAGTAAATTTCACTTTGATTTACGGTCAGCCACTAGTTGTTCGAGACGTCAGCAACCACATGGGGGCCTCTTTAAACTTCCGATGACTTGATTAAAAAACAATTCACGAACTAGGTTATTTTTATTATGAACAATTATTTTATTATTTTTCATGACCTAGTTTATTTTATTATTATTATTATTTTAGCGAAGGGTAAACCCCAAAGTATATCCACAAAAAACTTAGGTATCGTGGTTAGTTAAGAGCATTTAATTGAGAATAAGTAAAATCGTGGTAGGCAATTGTTATAAAAAAGATATTTAATGGAGAAGAAGACACGTTCGAATCTCAAAAAGATCTACGATTTGAGCATTATTAAGAGAATTTAATGTCGTGATTAAGATTGTTTTCATTTGGTTTTTTGTAATCGAAGTTTTTTGATTGAATTAATAAAAGAATTGCTTTGTTATCATCTTCATTGCTTTCATCCCATGAAGTTCTGAAATAAGATATTTGAACTCATTTCAAACAATCGTTTAAAAATTATCTATCGATTAAAACATTTTTTGTCGATCTCAACAAATTTTGGAACCACAGCTGCAGCATTGTTAGTATATTGCACCTTAACCACCAACAGCCATGCATAAGTTCCCATCTTTATTTACCCCTCTCATGTCCCATTTTTCTTGAATCTATTTTCATATTTTTGT